TAAAGAACCATAATATACAGCAGGAAGTACTTAAAGAACCATAATATACAGCAGGAAGTCCCTAAAGAACCATAATATAGAGCAGGAAGTACCTAAAGAACCATAATATACAGCAGGAAGTACTTAAAGTACCATAATATACAGCAGGAAGTACCTAAAGAACCATAATATACAGCATTTGTCTCTGCTGTCAGTCACTACCTTTTATAACTACAAAAATCTTATTTTTTGCTAAAATGCTGAATGTTAAGTGACACTGAGGAGAGTTGCTGAAGAAGCTTAAACTGAAATGCTAAAACTTAGAGCACGAGGCTACAAGTAACAAAACACTAGCTAAAAGCAAAAAGTAGCAAACATCTAGCTTAATGTAGCAAATAATTATTTGAATGATAATAGTGGCAAATAGGTAGCTAAAAGCTTAAAATAGAAAAACGTCACTTTAAAGTTGCAAAACAATAACTTAAAAGCGACAAAATTTGGCTAAAAGTAGCAAAAGTTAGTTAAAAGGTAAAAGTAGTAAAATGCTATCCACAAGACAAAAAGACGGCTAAAAGTAAATGTAGCTAAAGGTCAAAAACTAAATCTATAGGTAGCCTAGGAAGACAAAAAATAGAGCAAGTTTGCTGAAGCAGAACAACAAGATGTCAATATATTTCCACAGGTAAAATATTTGACGAGATAAAAGTTACAAGTACACCTATCTACTAAATGAGTCGAATGTTTTGATAGATGAACGGCTAAAACCGCAAAAAAATGAGAAATAAAAACAGGACAACAATAGTTGTGAATATTGACTCAGAATAAATTCAATAAAAATCAAACATGTCAGGTTTAAAGTGTTAACGTGTTTTACCAAGCCCAGAGGGGTCAAAAAACGACCGTTCTTCTCACCAGGCATCGTGAACTCCAGCTTGACCCAAAACCCGCAGAGGGACTCGCACACCTCCCAGAAACTCGTCCCCAAACTTCAGGTTGCTGGCGTTCCACAGATCCACTCTGAACACGAACAGAACCGTGTCGCTCAAACGACAGAAGGAACCAAAGTTCACACCGGATGAAAACAGCCAGAGACTCACCTCAGAGCCAGTTTGTCCACATCCTCCTCCTCCACATCGAACTGACGCTTCGTGTAGCTCAGCGGCCGCGTCACCTAGAAACGGATTTTAAAACGTTGGGAAAAATGGAAACATCGGGCACAGAGGCAGAAAACCCCACAGAGCGTGCACAGCTGTGCTCATGTGGCGATTAGGGAATAAATAAAACGGTTTAGTCAGAAATCAATGGCCCGGATTGTTCGGGTCGCTTGAATCAATCTCAGTCTTGTCCTGCCGTTTGCTGGAGGCCGGAGCAGAACGAAAATATGTTAGGGCGGGAAACAAGAACTAACAAGGAGGGAGGAGAGCGGAAAATATCTTCATAATCAAGCTCTAAACTCTAAATGACAAGCAGTACAACAACGTCCCGTCGCTGAGGGATTTGAATACTGAATGTTTGTAGTCTTCAAGAACTGAACAGGAAATGCAAATAAACCTAAATGTTGTCAATATTTGCAACCTAGTTTTCAACAGTGACTTTTCTTGATTCTAGATGTAGCCACACAACAAAATGGAAGTGAGTACCTCACTTATTTTTTGATTTATCGTGTTCTCAAGACAGACGGATGGAGGGACAGTATTTTCAATCGCCCTCTTCGTTACGCAACGGAGGATAACTAAAACCAAATACTTGTTCCATTTATTAAAGGTGACATTTTTAGTGTATAATCCGGTGAAAATCCTGCAAAAATTAGCTTTTTTTGCATCAATGAGAAAATAATTGTAGGGATGCACGATATTGGATTTTTGGCCGATATCCGATATGTTAAAACTTATTTGGCCAATAACCGATGCCGATCTGAGGAATTAAAATACTACATTATTCTGCACGGTCTTTGTCAATTTTGCCTGCAACCAAATGCAGATGCCCAAAAGGGGTCTGAAAATGATGCAACACTTCAGCTTGGATTATGTTTAATGTCAAATTTATTCATGACATTTACACATCTAACACGACAACACTCGAACAGCGCAAATTTGTAAACTTTCACAAATTTAAACTCAACCTGTTCACAAGCGACAAGTGAAAAGTGCATAAGTAGTAGTGCTTTAATAGATATTTCAGTTTCTTAAATTAAAAATTTACTTAAAACAGAAGCCCTTTATATCGGTGAGTTTTTTTGATGCAAGGTCGATGTCCGACATTTAACTTTATCTCTAATATCAGCTGATACCGATACCATGCCGATAATATCGTGCAGCCCTAAATAATTGTTTTCATAGTTAAAAATTAGGGAACTTAAGGAAAACAGAGTGCATTAAACTCCGGGTTGCCAGATAGAAAAAGGATTAAATATTGCACTGCTGCTTTAAATGACCTAAACTGTCGTCTGTAATGAGTGAGAGTGCTCTTCCTCGACCAGCGATAAGTGTGTTGTAAATGGTAAGCATGCACTGGAAGGAGGCGAGGTTGTGTGTCCAGGAAGCGCACAACTTTCTGATCGGATCAGATGACATGTGGGTGTTCATGTGAATAAAAGTTTTTTTTGGGGTTGAACCGAACTGTAAAAATTATTGCATATTTAGGCTTTTTAAAACTATTATGTATAAACCCTAAAACTATAAATACATGTATACATATTGTAAATACAATAATTATTGTTTATCTGGCAACACTGGGTCAAACTTTTGTTGCATATTTTACCATAAACTCCTTCCTTGTCGAGATGAAGGTGAAATCTCATTCAGTATCAGCTACTATGCCGTATTTTATCTCAATATCTGTAAAATTGACTGATTTGTCATTTTTCTGTTGGATTATTTTTTCAGTCGACCTTTATTTATACAGGTTAGTCTCACTGAGTCACGAGGACTCATTTTAAAGATGACTAGTTGTGGCGGCCATCTTGAATCAGGTCGGCTCTAGAGTTAATTAGGTGTAGATTTAAATTTGATTTTTTTTTTTCCTGGAAGTTTCAGTAAAATATTCTCATGAGATAGCTTGGCAACAGACAAAAACACGATTACCTCGAAATAGAAAACCTCGTCAAACTGAGGATTGTTGGTTTTCCTCCGAGCTTTGGTCTTTTTTGCGTCTGACCTACGAGGAGGAAAAAAAAAAGCTTTATCTTAATTTAACCTTGTAATAAATGTCAAACCACAGAGCAAAAAACCTACCTTGAAGGGCCGAGTAAGGAAACAGCAGCGTAGGGATCGCACTGCCCGTTGACGATAGGGAGGCCTTGGCACTCCAGGACTCTGATGAAACCAAACCAGAACCAAATTTTCATCAGACCCTAACGGGTTAATCAGTTTCAAACACCGGCTGTCTGAAAACCAAACAAAACCTTTGAATGTGTCTTAAAGAAACACCTAATTCCACCATGGCACTTCAAACTGTCAGTTTCACTAAAATCCAATGCGTGCGCTAAGCTTTTAGCTTTATCAGTCCCTGCTCACTTTCATTAACCCCCGTGTGGCAGAATTCAGAATATCTTACCAGGAAACTTGAGGATAAGTGAGTTGATGTTATTGACCCACAAAAACGGTGTCAGATTAGTAGTTTGATCTTTAAATCTCACAGTAACTTCTATAAAAACTGGAGCATAATCAGCTTATTAGGAGATAAACCTACTAAACTGTAATTTATTTATATTTTGCAGTAGCAGCTCTTGCTAATTTTAGCTAATCCTGCTTCTTTTAGGCTTTAGCTTTTGTTCTGCTGCTTGCAGTTTTAATTAATTTATTTTCTGTTTTGATAATTATAGCTTTATCATCTGCTCTGAAACTGTTTAGCTAATGGCATGTTTTCATTTTAAGGCCCGGCCTGGCCGCAGTTGGCCTGCCCTTAGTCTACCCTGGCCGTGGTTGTGTTTGATTTGAGCAGAGTGGTGACTCTGTGGGCAGGGAACATCAGATCAAAAATGTGTGATGTCATATTATTTGCGACAAAACACTGGAAGACACCGAGCTCATGCTACTTCTCTTTTTTTTTTTTTCATATTATTCAAGAACAGCAAAAACAGAGCGAGAGAAGGCGAAGTGCTGAAAGAAGTTTAGCTATTGTTGATGTCAAATTGGCCCGAATGGAACCCCAGGTCTCTGGGTTCTAGGAATCGGTCTGGAAGTGGGCCATAACACCACATGTAAATACGCAGAACCCAGGTTTGAACCCAGGCCATTTTTACAATAGAAAAATGCAGCTGCACCAACTGTTTTGCTAATTTTAGCAACTTTTGCTCCGTTAGGTTGCAGCTAATGTTCTGTTGCACTTGGCTCATTCTGCTGCTTTTAGCTACCGTTCTGCTTCCTGTACCTTTTAACTATGGTAGAGCTACTTGTAGAGCTATTTTTAGTTAATGTTTTGCTGATTATGGCCTTAGCATCCGTTTTGCTCATTTGAACCAAGGTTCTGATGCTTTAGGCTATTGTTCTGGTTCCTTTAACTTTAAGATGAAGTTTGGCTGATTTTAGTTACCGTTTTGCTACATATACCTACTGTTCTGCTCCTTTTAGCTTTTAGCTAAGGTTGTTCTATTTTTAGTTATCGTTTTGCTGATTAAAACTTTACCATCTGTTTTGCTATGTTTTCGACCGTTTTGCTACTTTTACCTACTGTCCTGCTTATTTTAGGTTTTAGCTACTGTCCTGCTTCTTTTAAGTTTTAGCTACTGTTCTGCTGCTTTTAGCTTTTGTTTCACATCTTGTAGTTTCCAACTACCATTCTGCTGCTTTCTTTTAAGCTTGTGTTCTGCTTGTTTTACCTTTAATGACTCAATTTAAGCTTTTTCAGCTAATTTTAGAAAAGTCAGTTCTGTATTCACCCTGCAATTTACCATAAAACAAAACTTCTTTAGTTATGGTGCTGTATCTTTTTTCACAAACAAAGTATTTTTCATAAAATAAATTACAGTTGTCCCTCGCTACTTTGAGGTTCGGCTATCGTGGACTCACCCTTTCGTGGTTTTTCAATAAATGTCAACTTTAATATTGCTCATGTGATTGAGATGGTACAAGATAAAAAGTTAATGAAAAAAATATACTTCATACAGGCGCTGCCATTTTGTAGTTTTCTTTAAATAAGCCTAAACTCTTTTGACAGTCAAAAGAACTACACTACCCAGAAGCCAACAGTGCTTCCAGCCGCTGCTTTCTGCCAAAATGGAGGGCAAGTTTTGCAACACGAAGTCAGAAGTAAAGATCTATCTATGAAGCTCACAGAACCGGCAGGAAAGTCGCAAATAATTCTGAAGCTCAATGATCCACGCGCACATCAACCTGGTGGTCTTCGTCGCTGCAGGGTAGG